CAGCCAGGCAGCCACTAACAATCGTATAAAAGGCATACACATCACACAAGTAGGAAGGTAGGTGGAAAGAAATCGATTTCTCTTCCCGCTTGGAACTTCGTGCAATAATACCATCGCATCATCCGCTCAGGCTGCTGGAGTTGGCTGGAGATTCGCAGTAAATGGCGAACCACTCGGCGAACAGAACGAGATTGCATAAACAAACAAATTTGTTACATTTTTTACTGTCTCTGTTTTGATTTTTATTTTATTCCGCGCGCGCGAGCTAAACTCATTGACGCAGCGGGAGGGGGAGAAGAGCAGCGGGGAGGGGTGGAGGGATAAAATACGGTGGCGAATTCGGTGATGGTTCTTTTTACTTGATTTCCTGCAGGGAGTAAGGTGGAGAACGAACTGCTGCGCTACGCTACTTGCTTCTGAGCAAACCGTGAGCAATTCTCAGGTGAAGGTGAAGTCCACAGAGAAGTGGAGACAAAACCGAGCGCATTGGCGGCGGTTTCACTTTTTATGGGGTGACATTTCGCGGCACGAATTTGATTTCATTAGCGGAACGACATTCCCGGAGGTGTTCAATAAATTTGCAACCAAAGGAAGCGAGAAAAGAGTGCTGCAATCGGGCATCAAGCGATCCAAGGTGGCCATGCGTTGTTTGGGTTGCAAGATTTGACTGTTTGTAGAATCTGAGTTCATCCGGTCTTCACGATCTTGAAGCTCTAACGGTTTGTCGTGAAGAGCCGAGGTCAAACAAATCTTGATTCTAATCGTGCCACAGTCGTCAGCTTGAGATTACTATCGAACAGAAGCAGTAATCGTTTGGGCAGAAGTTACGACCAGTTTCGGTAATGCTTTTTGACATTGCTCCAAGCCGGTGTACAGACAGCTCAAGGATCCTCGAAAGAACAAATCCCTAGAAGCACTTGTTATAATTTTATCTCCCGCACCGAATCAACACGATGATGATGGGAGACTCTTCTGCATCAGCTTTTCTTCCTCTGTTCTAGCCCCCAGTGTCCCGAGTGCTACTATTTATAAATACTTGTGGATCATCGGAGTGAGAGCAGCCTGAAATCACTTCAGAACCACTTCAACTACCCCTTCAACAAGCCATCAAAAATTTCAACAACCGCGTGCGCGTAAACCAGAGAGAGAGAGACAGAGAACCGTGTGATGTTCCTAATGGTTTCTAAAAGCTATTCACTTCGGAAAACGATTCGAGCAGGCGAAACTCCGTTAAAAAAAGTTGTTCTTAGAGCCTCTTTCAACGCAGATCATCATTCGCAGCATCCCGCTTGTTCAGTAATAACAAGAACTGAAATTCAATCATAAAGAAATGTTTCTCCATCTCTCACGCATCTCAACAGAGCCGAGTTCCGAATTTGGTAGCGCTGAAACTCGTTTAAAACAAACAGCTCTCCCACTCCTGCTCCGCTATATGGCAGACAACGAAGACTTTGTTGGGACCGAGTGAGCATCAATTTGGAAGTTCTAGCCAACCCCACTCTCCCCCGGTTGAAGTTAGTCAGAGCCTACTTGTCTGACGCATTTTTGAGCTAGGGTTGTTTATCTGAAAATTTTCCTCGTATTTTTCTGGAACAGCATATTGCACATAAAACCATTAAGTATGATAATTTCTTAAAATAATAATCGCTGATAGAAGAGAAAACAAAAGTAAAGCGCTTGAAGCAAGACGCACTTCGATTTATGAATGTGTAGGAGCAATAAAAAATAAGTGAAGTGCCTTCAAGAGATGGAATTTATTAGGGAAGAGCGGTCACGCTTCTCGGGATGGATCGGCTTCGAACGGTTCGGGTTGTGTGTGAGTGTAGGAAGAGGTCATGAGCTCGGTTAAAGCGACCATATGTATGTATTTGGAAGCAAGCTAAAGCATCAAAAGAAAACATTAACAGTAAGTAAGTGTGCCCTTACATGGACACTCGAGGGCTTCTCAAACGTGAGTTAGACGGGTTTGAGGGAAACGGGGGAAGCTTTGCTCTCGTGTTGATCGATTTTGGAACGGATATTTTAATTTTATCGGCATGCCCGAGTACTTTGGAGCGAAAATTTAAAATTTTGCATCATTTTTTTTAACTATTTTATTATTGAGATTTTATAAATGTTGCATCAGTCTATTTAATAAAAAATGCAATCGATATTTTGAACCACCCTAATTCCTACAGCACACAAGGGTAAAACCACTTCAATGTTGCATTAACACAGCTAATTGCAAATTTCTACCCACATCCCAAAAAAGGATCTACTCTGATTACTTTGTGGCAAAAAACCTGATCAAGAGCTTTTAAATCAATTTTTTTTTCTCACTTGCTTTTGCACAGTGGATGATTAATTGAAATTTTTTTCAGTTTGTACCTATAAGCTTTTATTAAATTTTATTGGGAAATTAAAATTTTCAGTACTATTTTATAATAAATATATGTTTTATAGAAAGCAATTAGGGTAAATGTCAGCTTCTGCATCCATCGACTGTTTTCGGCAACTAATATTTAAACGTTAATTTCCCTGTATTTTCCCATCATACAATTTGTTGAATGTATTCAAACGATTCCTTAGTCGTTCAGCTTTAATCGGATTACATTTCTAACACTGAGCAATCCTGTTATGCCAGATTTTTCTTTAAATAAAATACACGCACTACAAAATGCGTCTGATTTCGAGTTGCCGATAACAGAACAGCTGGTTAACACCCAGTTCAAATGTAAAGGTTACCGAAGTAAACGAGACTGCCAACAATACTCACACTTACTTGAGAAGTTTGGAGCGTTGTAAACAGTTTTGAACAATTTTGTCGATTGGGATCCCAAGTAACAATTTCGGTTTCATAAGGGTTCTGTAGACCATGATTTAGACTTTAAGCATGCTTTAAAACCTCCATAAAACTTGCAATGTTACTTGGTTGATAGAAAAGCAAGCAGCAGATATATTTAAACTAACAAACACGTCATATGTGTGCGTGACGCTACTTAGATTGACGTGCATACGTTAAATCCTAAATTAAAATTTATTTTTTTATTTATTCATTTCGTCAAGCCAGTGTAAACTACATACAATGATTATTATAATGTTTACCTGCATACTATGCATTAATTCTATTCTTCAATAAATGCTTGCGATAAGTGCTTGCGATACATGCTTGCAAAATTTAAATTTTTAAAGGCTTTTTTCATCCCTTACTAAAGTTTTAACGATAGCTTTTCAACCATTTTTGAACGTTCAGAATATCCAAAATACATTATTCGATTGAGTGTCGACTTCATGATATTGTTTTCAATCAAAAATATTTAATTGAAAAGGACTTTATTCATTTTCATAACTTTTTTGCAGTTCATTTCTTTGGAAGGCCAATTAGTTTTTCGAATCCTATGTTTGTTATACATCATCAATGATTAATCATAGATGTTTAAAAATCTTCCAATATTAAAAAAAATTCGTCTGAATGAATTTTGCTTTATCCCAAAGAATTGTATTATCAGCTTTATAAAAAAAAAAACGAATGTCAATGATTTCCAAATTTTTGAAAGAAGACTTTCATGATGAAAAATAGCTAGTAGAATAACCAACGTTTGAAAATTTGAAGAGAATGTATCGTGAGATTTGACTTAAGAATAGTTTATAATGATATAAGAATTATTATGGTTAAGGACAGAATGATGGAACACTATTTTTGACAGCAACTTTTATAAACCGAGAATGTACCCAAATTTTAATTCCGTAGGATCATAAGTAGAGGTCCCAAACATACAAAATGTGTGTAGTTTAAAATATTTCATCGGTGAAAATTTAATTTTTTCCATTGTTTCCATCTTTTTACTTAGCTTAAAAATAAATTTTGATTTTTCTGAAAATATTATAACAATACATTGGAAATCTAATGAAAGAAAGTTTTCCCTCTGAAAAAAATAAGCGTTTAAACATTTTTTTATGTCATCATGGCAAAAAGTTGTTTGTTGGCTTAAGTTCAAATGCAAGGTCTCAGGTGTGTATAACTGTGGTTTATGTCATTGCTATTGCCATGACTACAAAATTTAAGATTTGCAGATTCTGTATCATCATAGTAGGCTTATTTTTCTCCAGTTTATTACCGTTTCTGATTACTGAGTAGAAGGTCGTCCTCTTCCTTGCATTTTCTCACATTGCCTTATTCTATCCCCACTAGATTTTAATGCAAACAAATTCTGTTTTAACCGATCGCATCACTTACCACAGAGAATTCTGATCTAAAAGTAACCCACCTCATTAACACAACCTGTTCTTTCCGTTTAATCCGTAGAGATGTATTCGGTCTCTAGTAACAGCGGTCATCGACTAATCACCCTGTCCAACCCCAAAAGACCGCGAGGACGTGCCCGGCATGGTGACTGATCTTTAAATAGATTGAATTAGAATTCTTGTACATTGAAGATGGAAAGCTTATCCCATGCACCATCTTTTATGTGGTTCTTTGTGCATTAGGTCAGTCTCGGAGGAGCAACTACGAAATGCGCGGTCCTTCATTATAAAAAAGTTAGCGAGTCAAAAAAGACCCAAAGAATAAATTTTTGAACCGATTCTTGATCTATTGACCTCAAATAAACGGTCAAAGTCCCTAGAATGGCACCCTGCCCAGAATTTCTTGGCCATTTAGGCTACCTGGTACTGGTTCCGGTGGGGCACAAAAGGACTCTTCCAAAACCTCATGTACTGGTATTGTCCGAAGGCTTAAAATTTATGATTTTTTCATTCAAAAGTAAATAGACCTCATGTCATGAACCGCAAGGTCAACGGGTTCCGGTAGAGCTCAAAAAGGACACTTCCAAATTATTATGTACTGATACCGTCCGACGGCTCAAAATTTAAGACTTTTCATCCACAAGTACATGAACGTCATGCCATGGACCAAAAGGTGGATCTGATCACATCCGAAACCGGTTCCGGTAGGGCTCAATATGGACACTTTCAAAACCTCATGTACTGGTATCGTCCGACGGCTCAGAATTTATTATTTTTCATCCATCCGTCCAGAAGAAAGCAGTGGCAGATATCTTCAGGGCAGCATTCACTTTCTTGTAGAGATGCGTCGATAATCGTGCAGCGCAGAGTTCTAACCGGGCTATCGAATGACGACTGGATAATGGCGCAACTTTGGATTTGGCCATCAGAAGTTGAATCGAAACACCGTCACTAGTTTCGGCCCGCACGTAACAGCAGGTCCCATACGCTCCCTTGGAGGCGTTGGCGAAGAAGTGAAGCTGAATGCTTATAGCGTTAGGCAGCGAGACGAATCGTGGAACACGAACTTCACTCAGTAAATGGAGAGTAGCATGAAAATCTTTCCATTCTTCTTGCAGATTGTGGGGAAGTGCAGTATCCCATTCGCAATCTTCACCATTCTGCTTCAAGGCCCATAAACGCTGCATGAAAAGTTTGGCAACAACGATCGTAGGACCCACGAGACCAAGCGGGTCGAAGATTTGAGCGATGTAAGACATCACCTTACGCTTCATCAGGATCGCAGCGGGAAGTGGTAGCTGGACCTTGAACCGAAGTACGTCGTTCGATGGTTCCCAGACGAGACCGAAAGTTGAAACTGCTGGCTCATCTTGTAGGTCGTGTAGAGGGTTGAGTGCCAAATCTTCCGGTGGAACGTCCTGGAGAACCTCAGGAATATTTGATGCCCACTTCTTGATTGGAAATCCAGCAGCACTGAGCATCTCTGTTACCTGCTTGCGAAGCTGGATGACAGATTCTACATCGTCGGCACCAGACAGAAAATCGTCAACGTAGAAACCGTGGATCACCGCTTCTACAGCAGCTGGAAATTGGTCTCCATTATCTAAAGCGATTTGTTGCAGAGTCCTCGTGGCCAAGAACGGAGCAGACGCAGTACCGTAGGTGACTGTCTGCAGTTCGTAGGTGGAAATCGGATCGGTGGGGCTCTTCCTGAAGCGGATTCGTAGGAATCTTCGGTCGCTGGCGAATTGAAGCATTTGGCGATACATTTTCTCCACGTCGGCAGCCATAACAACGAAGCGAATGCGAAACCTCAGCACCAGTGCTTAAAGATCTTCCTGAACGACTGGACCAACCAATAACGTGTCGTTCAGTGAATATCCCGACGACGTCTTGCACGACGCGTCGAATACGACCCTGACCTTCGTTGTTGTACTCGACTCCTTGAAGACAGCGTGGTGCGGGATGTAGCAATGAGGAATGTCATCGTCTACCGGTACTCCTTTGATATTGCGAGACTATTCACAACGTGCAAAAATCATGCTGAGAGTTGACTGGACTCAAAAATGATTCCGTTGCACATCGTTTTCTTAGAAAGAGAAAGTAAAGTTTGCTATCTCTTTTAAATCTTCATCGATGGCAGACACGAAGCTACTGTTGCCAGCCGTTATGGTAGTTTCGGGTCGCGGTCGAATGTAGAGCAATAATCATGAAACTCAAACTCACCATGGTTTGGTTAGAATTGTAGCTGGTGAGTTTTGTTAGCTTGATATTCGTAGCTATGACATCATGACTTGTAATATCACTTGCAATTGCTTGTTTGATGATTTTTGTCTACGAGTATCAAGCGTGATCTTGGGCATTGGTGAGATTTTTGTTGTATACGTGCACATTTTACCAGATACGAAACGATAATTGACGATCTTCTTCTTTTTTTCGCATTTTTAAGCTTATTGCTTAGCGCATATTAGCTTATTGCGTGCTCTCAACTTAGTGTTCTAAATGCACTTCCACAGTTATCAATTGAGAGCTTTCGATGCCAATTACCAATGCATGAATTTGTATATTGTGTGGCAAACACAATGATACTCTATGCCCAGGGAAGTCGAGAAAATTTCCAACCCGAAAGATTCCCTCGACCGGACCGGGAATCGAACCCGCCGCCTCCGGCTTGGTAATACCGTGCCTTTGCTGACTAGGCTATGAGACCCCTATGATTATAAACCTCAAACTGGCATCACGGCCAGCTGCATAAAAAACACTCTAAATACACCGGAGGACGCTCCGGTCGAATAAAATTGACCGCCGCACGAAGTTGACTATCTACAAGACGCTGATTAGACCGGTGGTCCTCTACGGCCACGATACCTTGACTATGCTCGTGGTGTTTTCGAACGGAAGGTGATGCGTACCAACTAAGGTATAGTGCAGATCGATGGAACGTGGAGGAGGCGAATGAACCATGAATTGCACCAGCTGCAGGGAGAACCATCCATCGTCCACATTGCAAAAATTGGGTGCCTACGGTGGGCTGGGCACGTCGTAAGAATGCCGGACGACGACCCAATCAAAATGGTTCTCGAAAGCGACCCAATAGGAACAAAAAGAAGAGGGGCGCAGCGGGCAAGGTGGATCGACCAAGTAGCAAGCGACCTGCGAACTCTACTCAGACTACGAGGCTGACGACGTGTGACCATGGATCGAGTAGAGTGGGACGACTTCTTCGGACAGCAGAGGACAACAAGGCCCTAGCCTGATTGGTAAGGCAAGATAAGGGGCAAAAGTTCAACCGTAGTTGAAAAAAAAAAATAAAATTTCGCATAACTGCAAGCATTTGGAATCAAACTAATTCCATTCACAGGGTTCCTCCTTTAAAGTTTACATCTTCTCTTACAAAATGTTGATTAATTTTTATTCCACTCGTAGGTAGAACGATTTTTTTCGGAAGAGTGTTTAAAACGATGCCCCACCCCCACCAAAAAAAGTCATTTATAGTAATTCAATATCTCAAAATGCCGCTGGATATGATAGGGTATTTAAACATCAAAAGTTAACTTTTTTGACTAGAAATCGAATGCTTAGGTGGTTGTGCACTTAGTTTGAGGCAAAAAATAAGGAAGTTTTTCGTGCCTAAAATTGTGTTATAGTCGATTACTAAGTGAAATGTCAATCGGTTTCAATAAACCCAGTTTTATTTCAAAGCTTATATTATTTTTCATAATCGTATGCAGCAAATTGAGAATAGGACTTAAAATTCGCAAGGTTCAGCAGTACCATTGCACATTGGTCCAGAATGCAGCTGGAAAAATGCTCTAAATTGGTCAATTCATGGGATACAAAATTTGTTTTAACAAAGTTGCTTGAAATTAGGTCAGCTACAAGGGGTAAGTCATTCAGCACATTGTGCCAAAATTAGATTCGGCACAGCTTAGTCACATCCATTGGAACAACTTCGGCACAATCTCGTATGCATTGGATTGTTGTAAAGAAAATGGGAGCACTGCTGGACAACTGTCGTTCAAGTTGTTCACAACATTACGTGCTGTTTGACTGTATATTCAGGAACATCCTCTAATACCAGAAGAACTGTAGGTTCTATAGTGGGCTCAAGAGATAGAGGCAGTTAATCAGACCCCATTAATACCCTTAATTCACAAAATACTCCAACTAACACAAAACAAACTACAGAAGTCTATTCATCATCCTCTAAAGTCGGTCTCCAACAATGTTCCCACCGGTTCCAATTTTTTTCCGGCTGCTGACTGTTGCTTTTTACATCACGAAAGGCTAGGTTTCTGGTCTGCCTTTGAGGGCATTATAAAACCATAAAACACAGGACTTTTATAATCCTATGAACACAAAACACTAAAATTTCGCACACCCGCCACTTCCCGCGTCATCCTCAATCCGATTTATCGATGCCTTGAAATACCGGGTTGCCGGGATGGATATTTTACAAACAATCGCAGCTTGCTCTATGATCGGCACATCTGCGGCACACTGACAAAAAAGATGACCCAAGATTGGTGTGCGGAGTGACCTACCCCTTGCTCAGCTATAACTTTGCCGAAGAACTTTAATTTCTTCAAACAAAAAAGTTAGATTTTGGATTTCAATGATAATTAGAGCCACCCTTGAATTCATTGTCATCAAAATGAGGGCCTAACTATAAGGAACAACTTTGAAGAAGAGACTTTTAGGCTAAAGTTTCAATTTCAGGCTCAAAACATATCCTTCCAGCTAAATCTGCATTCTGGACCACTGTGCATTGTATCATAACGGGTACAATGATGTAGATGTGTCCAGATTTTCGAAACGAAATAATAATTTTCGGGTACGTCAAAGGGCAAGTGCAAGAACAATCGCACTCCTGAATCTTTAAGGTCAGTTATTTGACGATAAATTTAATTAATATTTTAAATAATCCTTGACATCCACCTACGCCAATTTTTTGTTTGAAGAGATTTCCTTCAAAAAAAAATATTAGATTAAAATGATTAACAGATAATTATCAGAAAATTACCCTTTGAACATATGTACACGGAAAGATAACAACATACACACATTATTTTTAAATAAATCAGATTGTTTTCACTGTAATCTCGTTAAACTTTTGCTGACTACAAGGTTTGACTAATGGGCTTTTCTTTTTTTTTCCTTTTCAAAGCACTGAACGCGCACGATTCTCCTCGTGACTAGGTATTTTGATTTTGATTTTTCAACTGAAACATACCCCTACTATGATAATTAAGAATCTGACAAATCTTCAATTTCGTAACCATGACAACAGGAATGAGATAAACACCAGTTAGGCACATCTAAGACTTTGCTTGTGAACTTAAATATAAGCCAAAACCGAAAAAAGGTCGATTATTTAATTTTTAGTTGTCTAACTTTTGGCAATAATGACGAAGATTAAAATTTTGAACACGCAAACTTTCCTGAGAATCATAGAAAAAATGTATTGCCTTTAGAACTTATCTTATCTTTCTTTATTAAAGAGACTTTCAGCCATCGGCTGGTTCATCGCTAGACCCTTTAGAACTTTAATATCTTGTTCCAATAGTGTTTGAAAAAAATCCATTAGGCCGGAACAAATCACAAGTTTTTCTTTTGTCACTCGATGCTCGCACCAATCGAGGGGGGGGGGGATAAAAAATAAACCAAAAAAAAATAAAACATTTAAAATTCGTTTTACATTATATCTAAACCGTAATATACGCTAACATCTTTTCTGAGCCTCCGCTTAGCCTTATACTTCTTTGAAGCCGTGATTTTTGATACTAATGCCACAAACGTTGACTTTATTATGTGTAACACTCGAGGTATCAACAAGACATTGCACGCATAAGTTTTTGTATCCTTTCAAGGAAGAACATTGGTAAAAATGTAGATGAATATGATCAAAGCAATTGATTTTTGGGTATTGATAAATTCCGGATAAACCATCAAGCGGAATACCACAAACGTAACAGTTCTTATGAAAAAAAACGTTCTGTTTTCGATACTTTTTCCCTATCCAAATATAACTCAGTTTTCTCAACAATTGTTCGTGCTTTAAAAAATCTAACTAGACGTATGGATTCAGGAAGGTCTATTCAGCAAAATCCAAGCGTAATATTCAAATAAAGAAGCCAAAATCCATCTTGGCTGAACATAAAAACCAAATTTTAACAAAAATACGTAGTTTTATCAATTGAAACCTGGCTTTGGGTGTGCTTAAAAAAATAATCATCACATATGAATTCAGCAAGGTCAGTTCTATAAAATCTAAGCATAACTTTCAAAGGACAGTATCAAAATCCAACTAGCAGAAAAGGAAAACAAAAAAAAAACCTTTTCGAATTACAAACCCGGTTCAACCTTCACGTATGGATACAGCAAGGTCCATTCTAAAAAACACAAGCCTATTTTTAAAAGATATGAGCCTAAATGCAATTTGGCAGAACCGCAAAACAAAATTTCTATGAAAATACGGATGGATGCAGCAATTCGGTAAAATCCATTCCTATTTTTCAAAGGAAGGAGCCGAAATTCAACTTGGCTGAACAAGAAACCCAAATTTCTATAAAAATACGTACTTTTGAGAATTCAAACCCAGTTATCTAAAAAATTGTGCATGCTTCATAAAATTTACCATCACGTATGGATTCAGCAAAGTCCATTCTATAAAATTCAAGTCTATTTTCAAATATAGGAGCCGAAATTAAACTTGGCAGAAAAGAAAATCAAAGTTGTTATGAAAATACGTACTTTTGTGAATTTAAAC